TACCTTTTGAATCACATATGATTGAAGCTCCCATTACCCAATGCATGGGCACAAGAAAAAATATTTTTACTTCTTCAAACCGGCATACACTGATATTATGATATTTTGATTTCTACTCTGGTACTACATTTCTACTGATAAAAGAGTAAAATAGAAAAATGACAGTTCCTCTTTAAGCAGTTCCAAAGAAATATAAGGGCATTAATTGTGACATCAGATCTGAACTATTAAGCCATCACTACTGCCCTTGGTAAGAGCTCAGAACAATTCGGCTTATTTGCAAAGCTGAAAAACACTTCAATTTGTTAACTGTCTCGGCATTTAGTATTTCTACTGGAAGAATATTCCAGGCATTGGAAACTCTCACTGTGGAGTACTATTTCCTCATTCCTAAATCTCTCAGTTTATTGTAACAGCAGCCTCACAACTGATACAATTTTGCTGCTGGGGGGGATGTCTTCACAAGGTAGATGTTAAGGGGTTGACCCTTTACTGTATGTTTTTCTTAGTATGACTTTGTGATCTTTCAGAAGACAACATTCTGTTTAACCCCTTAAGGACACATGACATGTGTGACATGTCATGATTCCCTTTTATTCCAGAAGTTTGGTCCTTAAGGGGTACTTCAAGCACAAAAACTAACAATGCTCCCTGTATAGTCTATAGTTCAAGAAGAACGGCTAACGAACCCACCCACCATCTTCAGAGTCCTGTGAAGTGTGATGCCGGTGGAAGGGGTAAAACTGTGGTTGACCAGTGTAGTGATTTGCATCACTGTGTCCACCCATAGAACTGACATGCTAGCCTGTCGTGAATGACGCCGGGGTACAACAGGGAACAAAGTCAGGACAAGAGGACAGGACATGAAAATTGTGACTGACCTACCGAAGTTGGGAGGCCTGTGCTATTAACTGACCAGATTGATTCTGTGGTAACTTAACCATGCCTGGCCGTCTCATACCTCACCATCTAAATAGGTATGAAATAAGGCTGTACATTGAAAGAATTGGCTGCCTAAGTATGCACTTTTTACTGCTGAAAGCTAGATTAAAAACCAGGGCAAAAAAATAAATAAGTTACTTGTGCACTAGCCCAAATCCCTATGCACTTTTAAATAACAGGAAGTGTTTAGTATTAAAATGCAAGCTCATCTGCCCTGTCAAGGCAAAACTTGAGTCCACCTTGCTGCTTTTAGCAAAAAGGCAAAATCTCTAATGAGATAGAGTATTTTTTTTTGCATGTGAGGAAGACTGTGTAACAGTTGAAATGCGTTGTGCTGCTATTTCTTACTTATTTTTTGTTTAAGTATACACCAATAACATTTTAAACAATTCTATTATTTTGGTACCTGATACTTTATGCTGCTATTCATCAGCTGTTCCTGGAGCCCATACCCAGTGGTGTATTTTGGATTTGTGCTGCCCTAGGGCATCCCCCCTCAACCCCCCACCCCATATTTACATTTTCGACTCCCGTTCCTGTCAAGGTTGCACTTAAACTGACAGACACTTTATTACTGATGCGTTCACTGATATACACTCACTAAAAAATACAGTCACACATACTGTTTAACCAACACACACTTTCACTGACAGACACACACACTTACTGACACACACTCTCATATACACTAACAAACAATGACATACACACTCACTGATTTGACACACTCTGACAGACACACACTATTACTCAGACACACACTGACAGACTCACACTCACTGACAGACGCACGCACTCACTGACAGACACAGACACACTAACTGACAGACACTCACTCACAGACACACACACACAATCACAGACACACACACATACACACTTACAGACAGACACACACTTACAGACAGACAGTCACAGACACACACACACACATTCACTCACAGACACATTTCGCCCAACACTCACAAATTTGTATTATTTCTTTTTTAATTTAAATCCAACCAGCCTCCCTGGGAGAGCTGGAGAGGATTATTTAACTGCGGTCCAGTGGGGCTGCTGCGCAGGCAGGTAGAGGGTGGACAGGCAGAGTAGGCAGCGAGGGAGCTCTAATCTTCCTGCTCAGCTCCCTTGCGCACCGCTTAGTGATGCTGAGAGCCGGAGCTACGTCATATCCCAGCTCCCAGCTTCATTAACATGCAAATCTACCTGTCCTCTCCTGATCTCTCCCCGTCCCTCTTGACTAGTGTCTCTGACTGCCTCTCTGCTATTTCTAACTGGATGGCTGCCCACTTCCCTAAACTAAACTTGACCAAAACTGAAATTCTGGTCTTTCCTCCCTCAAGTGTTGTTACTCCTGTGTCTGTCTCCCTCCAAGTCTACGATGCTACCATCAGCTCCACTACGCAGGCTCGCTGCACAGGTGTTCTCTTTGACTCCGACCTCTCCTTCAAGCCTCATGTTCAATCTATCGCCAAATCCTGTTATTTCCATCTCAAAAACATTGCGTGCATATGCCCGTAGTTAACGCCAGATGTGACTAAGGTGTTGGTCCATTCCTCTGTCCTTTCTCGCCTTGACTACTGTAATCCGCTTCTCAGTGGTTTTACATGCTCCCAACTTGCGCCGTTACAGTCCATAATGAATGAGGCGGCGAGGCTCATCTTCCTGTCCGCCCGCACCTCCCATGCTTCACCATTCTGTCAATCCCTACATTGGCTTTCTATAAAATAGAGCTCAATTTAAAATTCTGGTTCTTGCTTTCAAATCACTACATAATGCTGCTCCCACCTATCTATCCTCCCTTATACACAAGCATGTCCCATCTAGGCCCTTACGATCTGCTGAAGACTTACATCTATCTTCTGTCCTATCTCCCACCTCTGATGCTCGCCTTCAAGATTTCTCGTGGACTGCACCGTTCCTGTGGAACTCGCTTCCCTCCTCCGTTAGATGCTCACCTAGTCTCCACTCCTTCAAAAAATCGTTAAAAACCCACTTCTTCATAAAAGCCTATCAATTAAACTGTTAATAGCTCCTGACTGATTCCTCTTCTGCAACTGTCACTAGTCTAATACTATCCTTACCTTTTTATGTCATTTTACCCCACTCCCTCTAGCATGTAAGCTCATTGAGCAGGGCCCTCAACCCCTCTGTTCCTGTGTGTCCAACTTGTCTAGTTACAACTACATGTCTGTTCGTCCACCCATTGTAAAGCGCTGCGGAATTTGATGGCGCTATATATAACATAATAATAATAATTAAGCAGCGTGCGAGGGAGCTGAGCAGGAAGAGCTCAGGTGAAGCTTCCGCCTGGCTCGGGGGGGCTCAAAAGTGGCCAGCTCTTGAGCCCCCCAAAACACAAGGCAAACAAGGGATCTGCCGGGCCGTTTAGGGGCAGCTTTTTTGCTGCTCCCTGCAAAGTGCCGCCCAAGGCAAATGCCTTGTTTGGCTTGTGTAAGATACATCGCTGGCAGGGAGCACTGTTTCAGTGCTCTCTGCAGAGTTTTAATGCCCTTAACATATCACAAGTCCATCTAATGATGTGCACGCAATACACTTTTTGTGAACTGTTCCCTGGTGTCCCCAGGCAGGAAGCCAGGAACAATGAGTTTGATTAAAGAGAGTAAAATCAACCATTGAGTAATGAAGTGCAGGGAAGGTTATTACAAATAAAATATGTAAGCAGCATATACTTTCTTTCTATGTTTGCGTGCTGCCCCATTATTCAGGGGTTGAGCAAATCATTGCATGCCATAGCTTGCCCAGAATGTTATTGGTTTTGACCTTTGGGGTTTTCAAATATTTTGCAAAGACCCTTGAAGTGGACATCCCGACTTGGTGTATGGTGGCCTTGGAGTGTAGGTGAAGGAGTTATACTTACTTGATTTATATGTACTTGAGTGCCACTTCACTGTTGTTGTCATCCCTCAGACTGGCCCGGTCACGGACCCCTCACCCGATCCGACACTTACCTCCACCACTCCTCTCCACGCTGCACAGGAACATGCTGCACCGATGGAGACTGCGGCTTCCCAGCTGCATCAGTCAAATCCCTTCTCTGACTGGATGTTCTAGGCGCGCATATGCCAGAACCTAAACTTCTTAAAAGGGAAGTAGGTGTTTTCCAGAAAGAGGTCCCAAGAGACAGGTAGGACACCTGTGAAATGTGCTCCACTCACTCTTCTATATAATCCTGCTCAGACCTTCTACCCGTGCTAAGCATTCTGTGCTCCTGAATCCTATCAAGTTGTTTCCTGCTACTGTCTTCTTATCTGATATCCAACCTCTGGCTTGTTCTACGTTTATGATCCTGCGCTGCCTGAAACGACCTTTTGCTTTTCTGATCTCGTCTCTGCCTTATCCTTGCCTGTACTTCGTTTTGTTCCACCAAGTCTGTAACTGCATATTGGGCTCTATCTACTAAACCGTGACCGTTGTAATGCTGCATATGCACAAGAGTAAGACACTGAGGTCTCAGGAAATCCCTGTAAGACTGCAGGACCCTCCATAGACAAACGTTCCCGATGCCCAAGATCAAGTGAGTGACAGCTGTGGGCATTGACAAAAAATTGTGGCAGTAGCCCTGCCTTTTGTCAACTGAGAGATTTTGTTAATATGAGTATTTACTAATTCGTCATGTGATATCTTTTCAATTAAATTACAACACAGTATTTCATGATTAGTTTATCTTCATTAAATATTCAAATAATTACATGATGGATGACGTGACAGGGCTGCTGTAAGGGATTCACTACAAAATAATAATAAATACAGCATTAAAAAAACAACCTGATATCAGATATCCTGCTATTATAGCCCTTTAACCCCTTAAGGACCAAACTTCTGGAATAAAAGGGAATCATGACATGCCATGTGTCCTTAAGGGGTTAATATAAATTAGTTATACTTTGGAAATGTGTGATTCTGGGAAAGGGAAACAACTGGGGGAATTACAACTAATGGTGTTTACATCTCTCCTCTACTTCCTCATTCTGATCATGTGACTCCACCTTGGATTCTGATTGGCTAGTTGTGCACCGATGGGCGTGGTCTATGTTGTAGATCACGTGGTGACATGTAGGTCTCCCAGCAGCAGAGCCTGGAGCTCAGTCTCCTCTCAGCAACATGGAGGGGACATTGCTGCTAATAGTGATCCTGGGGGCTGCAGGGACCATGCACCTGGGGGAAGCCTGCGGGGAACAGGTAACCATCACTAGGGAAAAGCAAGCATTGCTGCACTGGGAGAGGGAAAGGGAAGGAGGTGTGTGATGTTATATGGGGGTACACAGTGACAGAGAGAGGGACAGTGAGAGAGAGAGAGTCACAGGGAGAGAGGGACAGAGAGAGGGACAGTGAGAGAGAGTCACAGGGAGAGGGGGACAGCGAGAGAGAGGGACAGGGACAGAAAGAGAGAGAGTCACAGGGAGAGGGGGACAGTGACAGTCACAGAGAGGGACAATGACAGGAGGGGGAGAGTCACAGGGAGAGGGGGACAGTGACAGGAGGGGAGAGAGTCACAGGGAGAGGGACAGAGAGAGTCACAGGGAGAGAGGGACAATGACAGTCACAGAGAGAGAGACAATGTCAGGAGGGGGAGAGAGTAACAGGGAGAGATGGGCAGTGACAGAGAGAGTCACAGGGAGAGGGGGACAGTGACAGTCACAGAGAGAAGGACAATGACAGGAGGGGAGTCACAGGGAGAGGGGGACAGAGAGAGAGTGTCACAGGGAGAGGGGGTCAGTGAGAGAGAGGTCACAGGAGAGGGGTCAGTGAGAGAGTCACAGGGAGAGGGGGACAGTGAGTGTGAGGGACAGTCACGGAGAGAGGGACAGTGACAGTCACAGAGAGAGAGGGACAATGACAGGAGGGGGAGAGAGTCACAGGAGAGAGGGACAGTGACAGGAGGGGGAGAGAGTCACAGGGAGAGGGACAGAGAGAGTCACAGGGAGAGAGGGACAATGACAGTCACAGAGAGAGAGACAATGACAGGAGGGGGAGAGAGTAACGGAGAGATGGGCAGTGACAGAGAGAGTCACAGGGAGAGAGGGACAGTGACAGGGAGAGAGGGACAGTGACAGTCACAGGGAGAGAGGGACAGTGACAGTCACAGGGAGAGAGGGACAGTGACAGTCACAGGGAGAGAGGGACAGTGACAGAGAGAGTCACAGGGAGAGAGGGACAGTGACATAGAGAGTCAGGGAGAGAGAGAGAGACAGTGACAGGAGGGGGGAGAGGGATAGTGGCAGAGACAGTCCCGGGGAGAGAGGAACAGGGACAGTGATATTAGTACAGTGATAGGGCAGGGAGAGAGAGACTGAGGCACAGTGACAGGAGGAGGGATGGTGTCACAGAGAGAGAGGGATAGTGATATTAGTACAGTGATAGGGCAGGAAGAGAGAGAGGCACAGTGACAGGATGAGGGAGGGTGTCACATATGGTGTTGTTCAGTAAAGTGAGAATTTGAGGTGAATTTAAAATGTCACATTTCAGATCAAAATTGCTAAACTGGAAACATTCTCTGAGTCAGCTCTACTTTCAGTTCCCTTACTCTCACCTTACATGTGAAATTCATGTTGAATTCTCATTTTAGTAAATAAACCTGACAGAGTGAGGAGAAACAGAGATAAAACCAGGCCAGAGGAGGCAAGGGGTATGAATAACAGGATAGAGGGTTAAAGTGACAAGAAATTGATCTAGGAAGAGGAAGGAAGTATAGAACATGAAGAGGAAGAGGGGTGTGTGCAGTTAGCGGAGGAGGAAGAGGGGGTGTGCAGTGAGAGTAGGAGGAAGAGGGGGTGTGAATTGCAAGGAGGAGGAGGAAGAGGGGGTGTGCAGTGCAAGGAGGAGGAATAAGAGGGGGTGTGCATTGCGAGGAGGAGGAAGAGGGGGTGTGCAGTGCAAGGAGGAGGAGGAAGAGGGGGTGTGCAGTGCAAGGAGGAGGAAGAAGAGGGGGTGTGCAGTGCAAGGAGGAGGAGGAAGAGGGGGTGTGCAGTGCAAGGAGGAGGAATAAGAGGGGCTGTGAAATGCGAGGAGGAGGAGGAAGAAGAGGGGGTATGCAGTGCGAGGAGGAAGAGGGGGTGTGCATTGCAAGGAGGAGGAAGAAGAGGGATGTGCATTGCGAGGAGGAGGAGGGCTCAGTGATGGAAAGAGGAAGAGCTGTGTACAATGACAGAGCCGATTGGGAAGCCTTTATCTGTACTGTTTCAGATTGAGAGATTTGTTAAAAAAAATCCTACTTTAGAACTGTATTAGTTCAAGTGCCGCTTTTAAGTATTAATTTTTATATATCCATTGAAACCGTATTAAATTGATTGGCGTTATATTTCTAATAAGCTGATTAACAGTATTTTCCTCGTTTTGCCATTACATCAGATGCATTTTTAAATTCCCACCAGCTTCAGCAGGAATCTCACGAGCATGATAAGAATTGTAGTCCATCAGGGGTAGGCAACATATTGCAGATACAAAAGTTGTGCTAAACTGATATTGCCAGCCAGAAGGAAGGTTAATGAAAGTAATATGGCTTTATCTCCTGAATTAAATATAAAAAAAAAAAAAAAAAAAAGGCACCACGACCACTTCAGTAAGATTACGCACAGTGACTCTTTAAACTCAGAGTGGCAGAAATCAAGAGATTTAAATGCAAGAAATGGTTGTTATAAACATCAATCAAAAATAAAAATCAACTGTACAGTTTTATAGAAGCAAGTTGTTAAAAAGAAACCCTTTTAAAGTCGTTTACACTGAACTTCTATTTAGAATGAAATGTATATAGTAGCGGATCTTTAACCCCTGGCTAGCGTTATCAGTATATAGATTCTGGCAACTAAATGTTGTACTTAATGCAGAACCGAAAATGAAAGAAAATGTGAAGTTTAGTAGACACAGTGGGAGAAACTACAGTTGAGCTATAACACTGGAATTTTTTTTTATTTTTTTTAAATAGTTTTCTTTTGACAGAATAAGGTACAGTTTACTATAATTAGGATTATAAAGGACAGTAAGACGTAGATCTTCCCCAAAATTTTTGCAATTATAACATGGTAAAATTAAACAATTAAACTTAAAATAAGGAGTAACAAATAAGAAAATTAAAGAAATAAAGGAGGATCTCCCAATTGTTAACACCCGTATAAGAAAGATGACCACGTGTCCCATAATTTAATTAAAGCAGGAGTGGTACGATGAATCATCGACCATAGTTACCCATTAGATGGGTATGATTACCATTGATAATGCAGCTGTGAATTTACTTTTTGTCCACTAAGGGGCACTCTTAGCTCCAGAAGAATTATAGATCATTTTAGTGTTTATGGCGCTTTCCTTCTAGATTTGGTCAAAAATTAAAAATAAAAAAAACTGTCCAATTTCATCAGCATTCATTGGTTAAGAATGTGAAGATGCTGCTCAGAACGTATGGTTGTCATCCAAATTTGCATGAATGCTTCACAAAGTGTGCAAGTGGCACTGTGGGATAATAGTCAGATATATCTGCCCAGGCAAGAGTGCGTCTGCCTTGCCATGCCTGTACGTTGGCATAGTTAGATAGCTGGCATGATGACCTATCCACTCAGCCTTTGAGTCATGCCATCTATATTTAGTCTACCACACATGGTTATTTTCCAGATCTGATGGCTCAGGGATGGATTAAGATTTATAGCAGTGACACACCAAGAACTTAAAGGGACACTATAGTCACCTGAACAACCTCAGCTTAATGAAGTAGTTCTGGTGTATAGAACATGCCCCTGCAGCCTTACTGCTCAATCCTCTGCCATTTAGGAGTTAAATCCCTTTGTTTATGAACCCTAGTCACACCTCCCTGCATGTGACTTGCACAGCCTTCCATAAACACTTCCTGTAAAGAGAGCCCTATTTAGGCTTTATTGCAAGTTCTGTTTAATTAAGATTTTCTTCTCCCCTGCTATGTTAATAGCTTGATAGACCCTGCAAGAGCCTCCTGTATGTGATTAAAGTTCAATTTAGAGATTGAGATACAATTATTTAAGGTAAATTACATCTGTTTCATGCAGGCTCTGTCAATCATAGCCAGGGGAGGTGTGGCTAGGGCAGCGTAAACAGAAACAAAGTGATTTAACTCCTAAATGACAGTGAAATTGCAGGGGAATGATCTATACACTAAAACGGCTTTATTTAGCTAAAGTAATTTAGGTCACTATAGTGTTCCTTTAAAGGGACACTTCAGACCTGTATAGCAACTTAGTTAGCTGAAATGCTTTATATGTGTGTCGTCCTTTTATCATTTTGCAAAATGCAGATTTCAATAGAAATTGGCATTTACATTTTTCTTTTTTTAATTAACCTGGTTACACCCCACTGACTTTAAACCAAGCAGTTGCTGTTACTTCCTGGTTTGTTTAGCTCAGCGGAGCTAAACTCAAGAGTCAGCAATTGTCCAGAGCACCTTCCTTGCAAAGACTTCTCATTGAGCTGCATTGGGAAGTCAGTGATTGGACAGCCACAGAAAGTGTGGGCGGGGTTAGAAGGGGAGAGTTTGCAAAGACGACAAAAGAACTGCATGTTTTGTAAGCTGTTTGTAGATATACTCACTATGATAAAATGCATGAATGGTTTACATTGGGGGTATATTTGCTAAACAGTGATTTAATTTTTTTTAAAACGTATGTAATTTTTTTAAGTTTGTCTTTTAAATGAACACTCCAAGCACCATAACTACTACTACAGCGTGCTTGATCTACAGGTAGTGCTTGGAATGTTCCTTTAATAGACATTGGGCCACCTTGGGAATCTGCACACAGGGAGCAAGAAACTGTTCCTTTTATAAAGATCTGCAAAAAAGAGAGTTACTGTGCCCGCTGGCCATTGAGGGAGGCACAGATTGGTTTCTGGGAGATTTGATGGCGCTGCAGTGGTAAAATTTGATGAGAGTTGGTCACATAGGCTGGTGGGAGATTACCAGGGAAGGAATACAAGATGGTATTTTATGAACATGTCTGATTATTGGACAGATACTTTGTGTGTATGTGTATAACGTCCCTGTTTGTTTTCATGTCCCATCTAGACGTGCCCTGCAGCCCCCGATGGCCTCATGAACGTGCACCTCATTCCTCACACTCACAATGATGTGGGCTGGCTGAAGACAGTGGACCAATATTATTATGGAGGTGAGAGCTCTAAACCCACTTCATCTCAGCCTAGATCTGGAGTCTCTCGTTCTCTGGTGACATGCAGCCACAGAGCTCTCTCCCGTAACACGCAGATAATAACTGTGAATATGTACTGTGATTTGCGGCTTACTAATACTGCTGACTGAACTGTGACTTCTACTGGTCTTCTGTTTAACTTTTCCAGAGTTTTGTTTTGCTTACTTATGTTTGTTTGGGTTTTTGTTTGCTTGCTTATTCAGATCAGCTCGTTTCCTTTTTGCATTTCACTATTTGATCCTTTACTTTGTCCTTTTGTTTTTTTTTGCACAGTTACACAGTTGCAATACAATGTTACATTTCCTTGTTGCCATGTCGCTCCTCATATTAACACTATAAGCCCCATACCCAGGACAGATTATTGTAGTACTTTGGGTACCGTTCTTTTCAGGTTTGTCAAACATTTAGACACAAACAGGGTTCTCCCTGCAGCCTGTCTTGAAATACTTTTATATTATTATTATTATTATTATTATTATTTTATTTTTATACATAAGTACACATGCTCACAGTTTGCTAGTTACATGCACATTAAATTACACACGTTCACAATGCATACGTAAAAATAAACACACAAACAAAGGCCCTTGAAGGCAAACAAACAGATTACACGAACATAGACACACAGGCAGAAGAATATACAAACAAGCACACACACATTCACAGACACAGGTATACAGGAATGAACATACAAAGAGGCATACATAGATAAGCACACACAGACAAAGGGAAAACACACACACACACACACACACACACACACACTATATAGAAATCATTTTCCCCACTATTTGGGGAAATAGGGGAGATATCTTTTGCATGACTGGAAACTGCATGTTTCTCTCTCTATAGCATGTACAGAGTGAGGGAGAGGAGGCAGAAAGCCGCTAGCCCTCGAATCACTCAGCTATTCCTGCCATGCTGCTCTTAGTCTCGTTGTTGGTTGAGCCTTGGCTGGGAGGAGAGCCGCACTGAGAGTTTGTAAAACACGATTAGAATGTCATATTATCCACAAATCTACCACAGCTGCCAGCTAAAAGATTATGGGCTAGAGTCCCCACAGCCCCTCCCCAAGCAACGCCCCTGTCCTCCCATAGCAATTCCCCTGAAAATAAATTAAACTTACCAATATTGGTTCCCACACTAATAGTGATTCGAACACCCAGAGCATCCTAATACGCTCACTGGCAGTAATATGCCCTGTAGTGAGTGTCTGGAGTCTAATCAGGGGTAAAGCAGTTTTTAATATCTAATTATACCTCTGAACAATTACCACATAGCCGCCTGCTAATGATAGTTGTTGTAGTAACACTAAGTTGTCAGTATATCTATACATTCTACCACTACGTGATCCTGTCATATATCACCAAGTAAAAAAATAATACCCTAGAATTGCTGCTATTACATGGATACATTTTATTTCCTGATCCAATTTAAGCACACTAGCTTACTAGCAGCAATTTTAGGATGCGTTCATCATTATCATGTCGGCATTTATTTGGATCCTGTTTTCATACTAGTTGGTAGTATCACTTGTCTGTGTAGGAACCAATAAAGGTTATCACATATTTGCACAATAAACTGTATTTATTTGTATCTTGTATTAAATAACGATTACAACTAACTGAAGCTGAATTTCCTCTTAGCGTTCTTCCCCCTATTGACGAGTGGAATACGATTTGGTATATTAATATTTGTTCATAAGTTTAACAAGTTTATTTCCCTCATTTAGGAGGGACGACCCCTGTCTTTGAGGAGCACAGGCATTCTGTTCTCCTTATCTTATGTCACAGAGACCCCAGGCATCACAGCCACTACACTAAGCTGCAGTGGTTATGGTGCTTAATGACCTCTTTATTTGCTCTTGTGTGGACCTGATAGCAATTTGAAATCCAGGGTGGTGTGAAGTTTTCTTGTCTGTTTGATCAACTGGTTTACGTTACATACTGAGAGCTTTGTGATGCCGTATGTCTGAAGGGTCTGTGCTGTATCGATTTTGTTTTTATATTCTGTCTTCTAGCCCAAAATTATATTCAGCATGCTGGGGTGCAATATATTCTGGACTCGGTAATCTCTCAGCTGCTCTTGGATGCAAAGAAAAGGTTTATTTATGTAGAATCTGCATTTTTCTGGCGTTGGTGGAATCAGCAGTCGGAGGGATTAAAGAAGGATGTTCAGAACCTTGTTCAAGAGGGTGAGCATAATTTACTTGAAGCATGTACTAACCTTTTAAAAGATCTCTTCTACAGGACTGAATATTTAACCAATTAACCTGTTAAGGACACATGACGTGTGACATGTCATGATTCCCTTTTATTCCAGAAGTTTGGTCCTTAAGGGGTTAAACATGTTAATGTCATGAGGTCACTGCACTCTGTAGTTAAACCAACCCTTTAACCCATTAAAAATGTCACTGTCACTGTTCTCTCCATGGACTGACCTCTTAACCCATAAAACATGTGACTGTGCTCCCCTGCAGAGCTAAAATGTAAATCTTTAGATGTAGTTTTCCATAGGGACTGTGTGCTGTTTAATTAGGGTAATTCTTGATTGTTGTGGGTTCTCAGGTCGCCTGGAGTTTATTAATGGAGGTTGGACTATGAATGATGAAGCTGCGACCCACTACAGTTCCATCATTGACCAGATGACACTTGGATTGAAATTTCTTCAATCAACCTTTGGTGAATGTGGAAGACCCCGGGTAGCCTGGCACATTGATCCCTTCGGACACTCACGGGAGCAGGCCTCACTGTTTGCCCAGGTGAGTGTCTGTCTGTCTGTCTGTACACCTTGGAGTGTTAGTGTGCAGTACGGCTCCTGCTCTTTAGGTGTAATAAACAAAGTAGGAGTGTAACTGAAATGTATTCTAGCCTGAAGAACTTGCACTCTTCAAGGAAGGGTTAAACTGCTTCTTATTCCTGTGAACTGTGTTCCCATTATTAGACTGTAAGCTCCATTGGCCAGTGTACTCTTTTACTTGATTCACAAGGCAAGTTTAGCTTTTTTCCCACCCATATTGAATTTGTACTTATTATAGTCAGTTCTTCTCTAACAGATGGGGTATGATGGCCTGTTCTTTGGCAGGCTGGATTATCAGGATAAGGAAAATAGAGAAAAAAACAAACAGATGGAGATGGTTTGGAGAGGAAGTGATGACTTGAATCCACCCGTTGCCGATCTCTTCACCGGTCAGTATAGAGAACATCTTTATCTGTTTATAGGTTATACAGCTTTATGAAGTAAGAAGTAACTGAGAGTAGATGTACAGTAACTTTATGGAAGTGAGGAGATGTAATGACAGGAGAACTAACTTCAGGGGTAAGAAGTGTAGTGGCTGAAGGAGGGAGTTAAGATTGAGGGAGAGGAGGTGTAGGGGCAGGGATAGGGGGTCAGATTCAGGGAGAGGAGGTATAGAGGCTGGAGGAGGGGGTCAGATTTAGAGAGAGGAGGTGTACTTGCTGAAGGAGGGGGTCATATTCAGGGAGAGGTGGTATAATGGCAGAAGGAGGGAGTCAGATTGAGGGAGAGGAGGTGTAGTGGCTGGAGGAGGGGGCAGATTGAGGAAGTGGAGGTGTAGTGGCTGGGGGAGGGGGTCAGATTGAGGAAGTGGAGGTGTAGTGGCTGGAGGAGGGGGTCAGATTTAGAGAGAGGAGGTGTAGTGGCTGGAGGAGGGGGCCAGCTTCAGGGAGAGGAGGTGTAGTTGCTGGACGAGGGGGTCAGATTTAGAGAGAGGAGGTGTTGTTGCTGGAGGAGGGGGTCAGATTGAGGAAGTGGAGCTGTAGTGGCTGGAGGAGGGGGCCAAATTGAGAGCGAGAAGATGTAGTGGCTGGAGGAGGGGGCCAGATTGAGAGAGAGAAGATGTAGTGGCTGGAGGAGGGGGCCAGATTGAGGAAGTGGAGGTGTAGTTGCTGGAGGAGGGGGTCAGATTGAGGGAGAGGAGGTGTAGTGGCTGGAGAAGGGGGTCAGATTGAGGGAGAGGAGGTGTAGTGGCTGGAGGAGGGGTTCAGATTGAGGAAGTGGAGGTGTAGTTGCTGGAGGAGGGGGTCAGATTGAGGGAGAGGAGATGTAGTGGCTGGGGAGGGGATCAGATTGAGGGAGAGGGGTCAGATTGAGGGAGAGAGATGTAGTGGCTGGAGGAGGGGGTCGGATTGAGGAATTGGAGGTGTAGTGGCTGGAGGTGGGGGTCAGATTGAGGAAGTGGAGGTGTAGTGGCTGGAGGTGGGGGTCAGATTGAGGAAGTGGATGTGGGGGTCAGATTGAGGAAGTGGAGGTGAAGTGGCTGGAGGAGGGGGTCGATTGAGGAAGTGGAGGTGAAGTGGCTGGAGGAGGGGGTCAGATTGAGGAAGTGGAGGTGTAGTGACTGGAGGAGGGGGTCAGATTGAGGAAGTGGAGGTGTAGTTGCTGGAGATGGGGGTCAGATGCAGCAAAAGGAGTTGTAGGAGGAGGGGGTCAGGTAGAAGAAGTGTAGATCTAGCGGCAGTAGGGGGTAGTGAGATCTACAAGTGAGTTTTACCTGGATGTGGACCGATGGCTAAAAAACACTTTGTGCACATCTTTTGTCTTTAACTCAGGTGTCCTCCCTAATGGTTACAACCCACCAAGCGGATTTTGCTGGGATCAATTTTGTTCTGATTCTCCAATCATGGATAATCCACTCATGGAGGATTATAATGTAGATGCTGTGGTGACCAACTTTCTCTCAGTTGTAGACCAGCAGGTATTTGAATGGCTGGTACTGTCGCTGTGTGTGTGTGTGTGTGTGTGTGAGTGGCTGGTACTGTCGCTGTGTGTGTGTGTGAGTGGCTGGTGCAGTCGCTGTGTGTGTGTGTGTGTGAGCGGCTGGTACTGTCGCTATGTGTGTGTGTGAGTGGCTGGTACTGTCGCTGTGTGTATGTGTGGCTGGTATTGTCGCTCTGTGTGTGTGTGTGTGGCTGGTTCTGTAATTTGCAAAAAAATGTCTAACACAATTAAATAATTTCTGGTTCAAACCTATTACATTGAGGCCAATATTACTTATGATGTGACTCTACCAGGAATCTGAATGGTAACATGCACGTTTTATGTACGGTTTCATGTCTGGTCTAAAAATCCTGGAATTCTGAAGAAATCTGTATTTGTCATCAAATTCAATGGAAATCTGCAATTCTTGCTATTGCAGTTTTTCTTAACATTTGCATATTTCAAATCTGCAGCAAATAGTCTGTAATGTAAAACATTGGTTGCTTTCCTGTGGTAGTATAGTACCTCTTGGTTACTGCTTAGCCAACAGAGCCCCTGTACACAGCCAGAGTATCTCTGTTATTGTCCCTCCCCTGTATAGCTCAGACGTCCACAGTGACCATCTAGCAGGTATCCCCAGATATCAGCAGAGTCTCGATGAATGCTAAAAACCAAGTACACTTACAAATTTGTATTCAACCTCTAGGGTGTTATCAGCATAACAATAGATCTCTCTACAGTGCCACCAAGTATGGGACTGGTATCAGTCACCCACCCGCTGAGCCCCAGCCAGCCAGAGCACTGAAAGAAAGCGCCTTAAAACTCCCTTCCCCCAACATGGCACCCCCACAATCAATATATCTCCCTCATCTACCCACTGCTCAAAGTGTCCAATCCCCACCGGGTGGAACGTTTGACTAATCCAAAATTCCGCGTCTCACCGTGGTCTCCACCAGAGTGCTTCTGCAACTGGGTGGCTGTTATACGGGTCGCTCGGGTAGGCTGCATCTGCTGGGTAGGGTGGAAACCCACAGGGATGATGAGAATAGCAGGGCTTTGTGTGACAGGACCCTAGAGGAGGCTATGTTATTTCTTTCTTTATTTTATTGGTGGGGGGAGGAGTACCTGTTACTGTTTACATTTCTGAAAGCTCTTTTGTAGACTTTCAGAGTGTTCCTTTAAGATTCTGAGTCTTTCTGACAAGTGTAACCATGATATAGCATCATTGTGTGAATTATCGAGTTCTTCCATTGAATCTCATTACGGTATAAAGCACACAGTACTGTGTTTAGGCAGGTTAGATCAGGGAAGATTGTCTTTAGTTACAAGAGTAAAATAGAGATTAAATTACTGCTTCATCGGCACTACAACCACGCTACTGTAGGTAATGGTTATAATGCAAGAGCTGCAGACTTTTTTTTTTTTTTTTTTTTTACCATAACGTACTATTTGTGATAGTACTGCATGGATTCTGTAGAGGGACTCATAAGGGAAGGAAATGTGTAAGTTATCATGTATCTCTAAAATGATGGCTAATTTGAGCTCCTCGCATTTATTTGGAGTTTATTTGGAGCTCTGAAATATGTTTACCCAGTAGCCCTGGGTGCAAACCATTATAGCATTATGGGGCATTGAGACTTTAGCCATAGTAGACAGCTTCATAATGTAGAAATCAGGGTGAGAGACCATTGGGGCTGTACTAAGCCACAAAGCAGGTACCTCGTGACATCTTAAATCTGGCACCTATTGTGTACCACCGACAACTATTTATCACAGAAAAAAAAAAACGTAATCAAAACTAGTAAGAGACAAACAGTCAGAAAGAGAACTCCCAAAATACAGGAAACCTGTGATTAAAATTAGAGAGAGGTATTCAGAGGAATCCAGATTTACTGTTATTTTTTTAATTCCCATTCCCTTGGTCAGGTGTGAGGTGAAAGGTCTGCACGACATAGCAGAGAGGGTGACTGAAGTTTAGGGGTGGAGGATCCGCTACTTTAGCAATAAAATATAGAGATGCTAATTAATTGGAAGAGTCAGTGCACCTCCAAAGGCAATCAGACAAGGCAATCAGACATTTTCAGAGTTATTGTGTCAGATGGCTATGTATTTGTCTTTTCCTATTTGCATGGCACACTCTTTGGACCAGAGGTGTCTAGTGGGACGTTAGAAAGCTCCATTGTGGGCTCCAAAGTGTGGAGTGGGCATGAAGCTCTTTCAGGGTGTTGTCATCTTTGAACAGAGCCAGTGCCATGGAGGAGCCTGGCGCATTATATATGTGTGTGTGTAGGATGGGGGAGCCTGGCGCATTGTCACTGTGTGTGTGTAGCATGGAGGAGCCTGGTGTGTTGTCAGTGTGTGTGTGTAGCATGGGGGAGCCTGGTGCATTGTTACTGTGTGTATGTAGCATGGACAACCTGGCACATTGTAACTGTACATGTGGCATGGAGGAGCCTGACACATTGTCACTGTGTGTGTGTGTGTAGCACGGGGGAGCCTGACACATTGTCACTGTGTGTGTGTGTAGCATATGGGAGCCTGACACATTGTCACTGTGTGTGTGTGTGTAGCGTGGGGGAGCCTGACACATTGTCACTGTGTGTGTAGCATGGGGGAGCCTGACACATTGTCACTGTGTGTGTAGCATGGGGGAGCCTGACACATTGTCACTGTGTGTGTGTAGCATGGGGGAGCCTGACACATTGTCACTGTGTGTGTGTGTGTGTGTGTGTGTGTGTGTGTAGCATGGAGGAGCCTGGCACATTGTCACGATGTGTGTGTGGCATAGGGGAGCCTGGCGCATTGTTACTATGTGTACGTAGCACTGACAAACTGGCACATTGTCACTGTGTGTTTGTATGTGGCATGGACAACCTGGCACATTGGAACTGTGCATGTGGCATCGACAACCTGGCACATTGGAACTGTGCATGTGGCATCGAGAAGCCTGGCGCATTGTAACTGTATTTGAATGTGTCATGAGGAGAACCTGGCACTGTATACAGGGTTGGATGATATAGCAACCGATATATATATCATTGTTAGTTAACACATTGAAGGAGTTTAAGCATGCGTGGGATAGGCATAAGGCTATCCTAACTATAAGATAAGGCCAGGGACTAATGAAAGTATTTAGAAAATTGGGCAGACTAGATGGTTCGACTGGTTCTTATCTGCCGTCACATTCTACATAGAAACATAGAATGTGACGGCAGATAAGAACCATTCGGCCCATCTAGTCTGCCCAATTTTCTAAATACTTTCATTAGTCCCTAGTCTTATCTTTATAGTTAGGATAGCCTTATGCCTATCCCACGCATGCTTAAACTCCTTTACTGTGTTAACCTCTACCACTTTAGCTGGAAAGCTATTCCATGCATCCACTACCCTCTCAGTAAAGTAATACTTCCTGATATTATTTTTAAACCTTTGTCCCTCTAATTTAAGACTGTCCTCTTGCTGTGGTAGTTTTTCTTCTTTTAAATATAGTCTCCTCCTTTACTGTGTTGATTCCCTTTATATATTTAAATGTTTCTATCATATTCCCCCCTGTCTCGTCTTTTCTCCAAGCTATATATGTTAAGATCCTGCAATCCATGAACCAGTTTAGTAGCCCTTCTCTGAACTCTCTCTAAGGTATCAATATCCTTCTGAAGATACGGTTTCCAGTACTGCGTACAATACTCCAAGTGAGGTCTCACCAGTGTTCTGTACAATGGCATGAGCACTTCCCTCTTTCTACTGCTAATACCTCTCCCTATATAACCAAGCATTCTGCTAGCATTTCCTGCTGCTCTATTACATTGTCTGCCTACCTTTAAGTCATCAGAAATAATCACCCCTAAATCCCTTTCCTCAGATGTTGAGGTTAGGACTCTATCAAATATTCTGTACTCTGCCCTTGGGTTTTTACGTCCAAGATGCATTATCTTGCACTTATCCACATTAAATGTCAGTTGCCACAACTCTGACCATTTTTCTAGTTTACCTAAATCATTTGTCATTTGGCTTATCCCTCCTGGAACATCAACCCTGTTACATATCTTAGTATCTTAGTATCTATGTTTCTATGTTATCGGTTGATGTACAGTATCTCACAAAAGTGGGTACACCCCTCACATTTTTGTAAATATTTTATTATATCTTTTCATGTGACAACACTGAAGAAATGACACTCTGCTACAATGTAAAGTAGTACAGCCTGTATAACAGTGTAAATCTGCTGTCTCCTCAAAACAACTCAACACACAGCCATTAATGTCTAAACTGTTGGCAACAAAAGTGAGTACGCTTTTACACACAAAGGTACAAACTAATTACTAAATTTATGGGGACAGGTCTCCTTTACGTTCACTGAATAAGACCTTATTGTTTTAAATAATGAACAAAGCTGCCTCACCCCCCTTCCTCATTATAATAATTATATATATATATTTTTTTATATTATGTTGTTGTTATTGTAATGGTGTGTTCCTGCGGGAACTTATTTATTTTATTTTTTTTACAATCTTTCTTTTTATTGAGATAATAGCAGTATACAGAAGAGAAAAACAGTAATTCAGAGTAAGTCAGCTTGCCAGCAAGATCAACATACAGGGTTAGACATGCGATACGCCGAACAAGTAGGACATCTCTTTTTTTTTCAGTATTTATCACACGGTAGGCAACAGGCTATGAATAAGCGTCTATATTGGCAATATAACATATTCTTACACAAGGAAAAACTGTCAAGACTAGCGTAATTAAAGCTATTAATTAGGTAATATCAGGCTAAGCATGTTGTCATCAAGTATATGTTCCATATTCTAAACGGTTAGGCTGGGTAAAAGTGGGGAACGTGGGGTGGGATATAAGGTTAGCGTCCCACTGGGAGGGAAGTCATCGGTATGCTGAGTGAGCTATTAAAAGAAAAGTATAAATGAGTAACGGACAGAAAAATAAAAGACAACTGTGCCACAAACACACACAACACCGTATCACGACAGGGATTTGTGATAAAAGTCCCAGGCCATCTGGTGTCTTGTTCGGGAGGTTAGACTATTCCAGAGACAGGTAAGTTCATAGCATGCAGGTGCTATCTGCCGGGGATGAGGACATATGAATGCTAATAGGGTACTTTCAGCCTATCCCAGGCCTGTATCTGGGCCGTCACCTCTGTCTCATTATAATTATTTTAATGGATAATAACAATAGTCTGCACACTTGCAAATCATTTATGCACTAAGCATAGTGTCTTTCTTGTTTTTGAAAAAAATTTAATTGTGATATATATCAAGCACTTATATAAATATCATGATATTTTTCAACCCTGACTGTATATGAAATGCTGTGAGGTTGGCATTGTCACTAAGTGTTAATAAAGTTATAGGGGAGCTGGCATTGTCACAGTTTGTTTATATGTCATGGAAGAAGGCAGCAGTGTGACTGTTTGTATATTTATCTTGGCTGAGATGGCAGTGTCACTGTTTGTGTATTTGCCATGGGAGGTATGCTGGCAGTGTCACTGTTTGTGTATTTGTCATGGGAGGTATGCTGGCAGTGTTCATGTTTGTGTATTTGTCATGGGAGGTATGCTGGCAGTGTCACTGTTTGTGTATTTGCCATGGGAGGTATGCTGGCAGTGTCACTGTTTGTGTATTTGTCATGGGAGGTATGCTGGCAGTGTTCATGTTTGTGTATTTGTCATGGGAGGTATGCTGGCAGTGTCACTGTGTATTTGCCATGGGAGGTATGCTGGCAGTGTCACTGTGTATTTGCCGTGGGAGGTATGCTGGCAGTGTCACTGTGTATTTGCCATGGGAGGTATGCTGGCAGTGTCACTGTGTATTTGTCTTGGGAGGTATGCTGGCAGTGTCACTGTGTTTTGCCATGGGATGTATGCCGGCAGTGTCACTGTGTATTTGTCATGGGAGGTATGCCGGCAGTGTCACTGTGTATTTGCCATGGGAGGTATGCTGGCAGTGTCACTGTTTGTGTATTTGTCGTGAGCAGTATGGTATTGTAATGGAACCGCTGGCACCCTGACCGGGTACCTTCTGCCAACGGATGCTCCTAGTGCTTTCCGAGGACTCCAAGCACTCTGCCTGACACCATAACCACTGGAGACCCCACGAACCGCCGCAGCTTGGTTGGGATCTCGCCGTCTCCACCCACTCTGGACCCAGGACCAGGGTCCAGCTTCCAGCAGGTCGACCTCTCTCCGAATTCCAGAGAGCAGGAACTTAGTGATTATACCCTGGGGAGTATAGTGATTATAGCAATCCCCAGAGTGTAGTTTCTCCAATCCCCCAAACATGAGCCGAAACGTCATGAAGGTACAAGATGATCTGTTTATTGGCACACAAAGAACCTTCTTTTATGCAGGTCCCCATGAAGGGGACATCCCACTGGGTGGGACACAGTACAACCAATCACACAATGGTTACATCCCACACATCTCCTCCCCTTAGCCTGAGAGGTAACCCAATTATCCATACATTTTAAAACACACTTTTTACCCAACTTTCATAACTCTAAAACTATACATCACATTCACATAAAACTACATATTCACAATCAATCCATTCAGGGGAACAACATATTAAAAGATGGCCTGAATCAGACCAGGGGTTCAGAAGTTAGCACAAGTATCTTTTTGGGGCCTGGCTGGCAGCATGGATATCTGGCCCAAACTGGTTTCAGATTCTTCTATTCTGGAGATAATTGAGAAGTAATGCAATTATCTCCAAGGACAGAGGCAAAACTCCATTAGCCACATGGCAGACAAAGGACAACAAAAGACATAAAAATACATACTGTTACATTTATCACATAGAACCTACACATTTCCAATTTACCTAACACATAATAGCATATATAATATTGCAGACCGCCTGAATGCAATCTGCTACACAGTCTTAAAGGGACATTGTTCCTAAAAGTCATAATATGTCCAGGGATGGTTTTTAAAAGGCCAGCAGCAGCACCATACAAATCCAATATGCCCAAATATTGTACTTGAATGGGCAAATAACCCAGGGCCATAGTCATGAGGCAAGAGGCTGGCAATCAGGCTCCTCCAACAGCCAGGGGAAAATCCGGTGACAAAAGGCGTTTCGTCATAGGTATTATCACTGTGTGTTTGTCATCAGGGAGACTGGCATAGTCACTGTGTGTACATGGAGGTGGAAGGTGGCACTAGGATTGTATATCTGAGTTGGACACTATTGCTATGTGTAGATGTGTGGAGACATGCCTGACTGTCTTGCTGTGTGAACATTCTGTTTGCCATGGCTGCTTTGTGTACATGTTTTGCAGAGATGTTTGCACGGACACATCCACATGCACAGTTCATATAATGTGAAAACTGACGTATGCTCTCTCTCTCTTAGTCCCAGCATTATCGCACTAACCATCTCATTATGACCATGGGATCTGACTTTCAGTATGAGAATGCCAATCTATGGTTCAAGAACATGGACAAACTGATCACTCTGGTCAATGCCCAGGTGAGTAAGGACGAGACTGGTGCAGATTATAAAATAACACATTCTGTGCAGTAAAAATATCCAACATACTGTATAGCATATGGACTGTGTGCTGTTGCTGAATCGTTTTTAGAAGCTGGACAGCATTCATGAAATTCTTTCCACTTAACAGATAATAATATACATTATAGTCCAACCAGCTTGGCCTACATTGGTCTACGTCTTCACTTATGTGCATCTAATAGACATTCTAGGAGTCCTGCTTGTGGGTTGTATGTCGCACAACTGTCAGCATTGCAGCTTGCGGGCAGACCCGATACAGGGTGGCAGTGTGTATATTAAAGTGATGGTGCACAGCTTGAGTCCTAAATATTATAATTAATGTGATGATTCGGAGATCAGGATCAGCGCTGTTTCTTTAATGGGGTTGTTGTAAATTAAAAGTTGGTTACAGATTTTTTTTTTAAGTTGGTTTTTATTTTTTGAATGTTTTATTTAATTGATTAGAGGGCTATGTATAAAGAGCAATCTGGGACAGCATTCTAGTAGTGGCGCAGTTGCCGTGGAAACCAACAGAATGTTCCTGGTGATCGTTGCAATTTTAGAAGATTAAATTCGCATCGCTCTCTGCTTAGTCCCAGTAGTGAATACATTACTGCTAGAGTTACTGGAGCCCATTTTCAGCATTATTTATAATGTTGGCATCTGGTCTTTTGTTTTTTTTCCAGCAAACTAATGGCAGTAAAGTGAATGTATTCTACTCAACCCCAAGCTGCTACCTGAATTCCCTGAACAGAGCCAACATGTCATGGTGAGAGGAATGGATATGTCTATTTACATCTGTGGGTGCATTGTTCTTTCTGTGAATGTATGTTTATAGATACATCTTTCTGTCTCTGGCTATGTTTTCTGTCTGTTAATGAGTATCTGTTTCTGTTTGACATGTGTAGCTGCATATTTCTGTGTGTGGGCGTGTCTGCCTGCGTCTTTCTGTGTGTGGACGTGCCTTTCTGTGTGTGGACGTGCCTTTCTGTGTGTGGACGTGCCTTTCTGTGTGTGGACGTGTGTGTGGACGTGCCTTTCTGTGTGTGGACGTGCCTTTCTGTGTGTGGACGTGTCTTTCTGTGTGTGGACGTGTCTTTCTGTGTCTTTCTGTGTGTGGGCGTGTCTACCTGTGTCGTGTCTTTCTGTGTGTGGACGTGTCTTTCTGTGTGTGGACGTGTCTTTCTGTGTGTGGACGCGTCTACCTGTGCCTTTCTGTGTGTGGACGCGTCTACCTGTGCCTTTCTGTGTGTGGACGCGTCTACCTGTGCCTTTCTGTGTGTGGACGCGTCTACCTGTGCCTTTCTGTGTGTGGACGCGTCTACCTGTGTCTTTCTGTGTGTGGACGCGTCTACCTGTGTCTTTCTGTGTGTGGACGCGTGTAGCTGCGTCTTTCTGTGTGTGGACGCGTGTAGCTTCATCTTTCTCTGTGTGAACCTGCGTGTGTGTTTCTTTCTGTGAATATTTATCTACTTGATTTCAAATTCATATATATTTTATTTTTTATTTTTCTTCCCCCAGGCCCATTAAGACAGATGACTTTTTCCCGTATGCTGATGGTGCCCATATGTTCTGGACGGGATATTTCACCAGTCGTCCAACCTTCAAACGCTACGAGAGGTTAAGCAACAACTTCTTACAGGTGAAAGTACTGATTATTAAGCATGATTCAGTGTGTATGTCCCTTTCATGGTTCTTGATATTCAACATTCTATTCTCAAACGACACATGTGACCTCGTAACACTCTATATTTAATTCTGCCCAACAGGCCCATGTCTTCCAAACTCCACCTGTTCATCCATATTTGTCGCTATTAATCTTTATTAATATTAATAGTGATGTTTCACAAGAAATGTTAAACAAAATGCATTTCTTCTTATTTCTTTATATATTTTAGGTCTGCAACCAGTTGGAGGCTTTAACAGGAATGGCAGCAAGGAATGGACCATATGGAACTGGTGACAGCTCTGTGCTTCGTAAGTACTAATAATCAAACTATATTTTCACTGTAATAAAACTTATTGCATTAAAGAGACACTATAGTCACCAGAACAACTACAGCTTACTGTATTGGTTCTAGTGAGTAGCAACATTCCCTTCAGGCTCTTTGCAGTAAACACTGTCTTTTCAGAGAAAATGCAGTGTTTACATTACAGCCAAGTGGTAACTCCACTGGCCACTCTTATTACAGTAACCCGGCTCCTGAGTCCCTTGCTACCCTGTAACGTCTCATTACAGTAACCCGGCTCCTGAGTGCCTTATTACCCCGTAACATCTTATTACAGTAACCCGGTTCCTGAGTGCCTTATTACCCTGTAACATCTTATTACAGTAACCCGGCTCCTGAGTCCCTTGCTACCCTGTAACGTCTCATTACAGTAACCCGGCTCCTGAGTCCCTTGCTACCCTGTAACGTCTCATTACAGTAACCCGGCTCCTGAGTGCCTTATTACCCTGTAACATCTTATTACAGTAACCCGGCTCCTGAGTGCCTTATTATCCTGTAACATCTTATTACTGCAACCAGTTGGAGGCTTTAACAGGAATGGCAGCAAGGAATGGACCATATGGAACTGGTGACAGCTCTGTGCTTCGTAAGTACTAATAATCAAACTATATTTTCACTGTAATAAAACTTATTGCATTAAAGAGACACTATAGTCACCAGAACAACTACAGCTTACTGTATTGGTTCTAGTGAGTAGCAACATTCCCTTCAGGCTCTTTGCAGTAAACACTGTCTTTTCAGAGAAAATGCAGTGTTTACATTACAGCCAAGTGGTAACTCCACTGGCCACTCTTATTACAGTAACCCGGCTCCTGAGTCCCTTGCTACCCTGTAACGTCTCATTACAGTAACCCGGCTCCTGAGTGCCTTATTACCCCGTAACATCTTATTACAGTAACCCGGTTCCTGAGTGCCTTATTACCCTGTAACATCTTATTACAGTAACCCGGCTCCTGAGTCCCTTGCTACCCTGTAACGTCTCATTACAGTAACCCGGCTCCTGAGTCCCTTGCTACCCTGTAACGTCTCATTACAGTAACCCGGCTCCTGAGTGCCTTATTACCTCGCAGAATATCCAGCCACAGTAACCCGCCTCCTGAGCGCCCTTTACAATTCCCTCATAACATCTTATTACAGTAACTCGGCTCCTGAGCGCCTTATTACCCCGTAACATCTTATTACAGTAACCCGGCTCCTGAGTGCCTTATTACCCTGTAACATCTTATTACAGTAACCCGGCTCCTGAGTCCCTTGCTACCCTGTAACGTCTCATTACAGTAACCCGGCTCCTGAGTCCCTTGCTACCCTGTAACGTCTCATTACAGTAACCCGGCTCCTGAGTGCCTTATTACCCTGTAACATCTTATTACAGTAACCCAGCTCCTGAGTGCCTTATTACCCTGTAACAGCTTATTACAGTAACCCGGCTCCTGAGTGCCTTATTACCCTGTAACAGCTTATTACAGTAACCCGGCTCCTGAGTGCCTTATTACCCTGTAACATCTTATTACAGTAAACCGGCTCCTGAGGGCCTTATTACCCTGTAACATCTTATTACATTAACCCGGTTCCTGAGCGCCTTATTACCCTGTAACATCTTATTACAGTAACACAGCTCCTGAGTGCCTTATTACCCTGTAACATCTTATTACAGTAAACTATTATGTGAATATGTTATTACTCCTGTAATGTTTCTTTCACTTTCTTTGTCAGGGCGTGCGATGGGTGTTGCTCAGCATCACGATGCAGTGACGGGAACAGCTAAGCAGGCAGTGGCCGATGATTATAATTTCCGCTTGTATAAGGGATGGAACTCCTGCCAGGTTCTTACTGCGTTTATGTAACACTATGTAATGACTGACTCTTATGAACTGTACAGCTCTCCAAATTGAACCCAGCTTGCAGCTGTTGATAAATTATAACTCGCATGACAGTCATTAGGGATGCGTTTATTTTGTTGCTATTATTATTATTTTCTTTAAATGTTATTGATTTACGTTTCTTTCACTTTCTCCTTCTCCCTTCTGTTAATCCATTCCCTCTATTCTGTGTTGCAGACTCTCATCAGTAATGCTCTCTCCAATTTGATGGGAACGAAGGAAAACTTTGTGTTTTGTACTTTGTTGAACATCAGTGTGTGTCCGTTCTCGGAGGCAGCCAAAACTGTGAGTATACAATCACTGTTAATGTACCTACAGTCTTTTACAGTGGTCCACATACACACAATCCTCTTTACAGTGACATACAATACCCGCAATTTTTATTTGTGTGTAAGGGGGTTTATACATAGATAAAACCAGTGTTTTTTATTTTGTTTATTGTTAAATACCATGTGTCAAAGTGTAATGTAGAGTAGTGGGATTTGCTTCCGTTTATTGTTATGTAATAATGGGATTTACAGACCCAGAGGTTTTTTTTTTGTTAATTGTTTTGAGATATTTGGTGGAATTTTTCCAAAAGTCTTTTGGTTTCTGTGCTGGTTTATTTATTTTATTCAGCTGGTATTTCTAAGCTTAAGGTTAAAACTCTCAGCTTAATTCAATCAAAGTGTCCAACTTTGATTATAATGTTGATTTCATCTTCCTGCTATTTAGCTGATGTGATTGGTACGCAGAATATAAGGTTTGACATGTGCATTTTGAGATGATCTCCTGCTCACTGATATGTCTAGATTGGCTCTTTAAATATCTATTCAGTCAGACTATGAGAGTATCCCCAATCTCCTGTGACCTATCTTTGCCCACAAAACTACATAGTTTTAGTTAATCTCAGCCTTGTCAAGTACACGTTAATAGTCTTTCATTGCTCACTCATTTCTCATCATATCTCGAGTTTCAGTCTCAATTTGTGCTCTATTCTCCCTTTTCAATGCAATGCTTCTGTCTTACTTTCTTTAAACCCCTGGTCTCTCTCTTTATTTATGTGTCCTATACCGACAGTTCAACGTGATCCTCTACAACCCTCTTGGACGCAGTGTCACATGGAACGTCCGCCTCCCTGTCAATGGTCGCAAGTACTTGGTGCTTGGCTCCTCTGGTGAGCCTATACGAAATGAGGTAAGAGGAGGAGTCATATTAATTTAACTAACACGAAAATGGCATAAAAACAAGAACATATTATTATTTTATTATTATTATTGCCATTTATATAGCGCCAACAGATTCCGTAGCGCTTTACAATATTATAAGAGGGGTGATTTAACTATAAATAGTACAATTACAAGAAAACTTACAGGAACAATAGGTTGAAAGGGACCCTGCTCAAACAAGCTTACAGTCTATAGGAGGTGGGGAATGAAACACGTTAGGACAGGAAAAAGCAATCAAACAAGGTGGGAGTGAGGCAGAGCTGGAGGAGAGAGTAAAGTGCTGCCCTTTATGAAAGAACAAGAGACCGGTATGTGAGGTAGAGGTTACTCTGGATGGGAGTTCCTTTGGTCCACAATGGAACAATTTGGATTCGAGGGTTGGTTTTTGAATGCTGTGGGTGCAATCTATTCTAATCCCACGGCTAGAATAGTGGGCCGAGATTTATGTTCTGAATGGTTTACTATTTCAAACGGGACCCGACAGGGTTGCCCACTTTCCCAGTTATTATATGTGTTATCTGTTGAACCACTAGCTAATCATATCCGAAGTAATAAGCGGATTAAGGGAGTTGGGCGTCAGGATGACGACTGGAAAATTTGTCTATATGCGGATGATATATTTATATCTATCACTGATCCGTATATTTCCCTACCTTTTCTAATGCAAGAATTTGAGAACTATAGTATAGTTTCCAACTATAAACTGAATATGAGTGAAACAACAGCTATGGTGATAAATATTCAAAATTATATTTTAATTTCTGTAAAACAAATTATGATTTTATTTGGACTAATAAGGAATTTATATATCTGGCCTTAGTAATTACTGCTGATCCAATGCGAGCTATGGAAACCAATTTTCTAAAATGTATTAAAGGAGACTAATGCACCACTGAAAATATGAAGAGTTCATGAAATATCTTGGTGGGGTAGGATAAATACAATTAAAGCTTAAATAATTCCGAAATGGACATATATGTTCCGTATGCTTCCCCTTTCGATTCCTACACATTGGCTAAATATGATTCAAAGTAGCATTACTAATTACATCTGGAAAGGCCAAAGGCCCAGAATTAATACTTTTACTCTATCAAAGGCTATCAGGATGGTATGGGTTATCCCCTTATTAGTCAGACATACCAGGCGAATATCCTGGTTCATGCTAGCAAATTGCAAACAAAGGAGGCTCAATTCCAAACACAGTATAAAATTGAATTATATAGAGTCGAAGTTAAAAAACTTAGAATCTCTTTTATGGGGGTGATGAAAGTAATAACTATTCATTATGTAACCTATCGGAAAACTCTTCTCTGATTCTTCTCCAAACTTTAAAAGAGTGGAAAGTTATTAAGAAAAAACTTAATATTAATAATAAAATCCTAGGAAAAATTCATATTGAATCTTTAGAACAAATCCTGCCAGATAAAAATGTAAAAAGCTGGTATAGAAATTCTCCTTATATAATATCGGATCTTTATAATAGACAGCATTTGAAAAGTTTTGAAGAATTAAAGACCTTATTAGATTTACCATCTAGAGAAGTATTTAATTTTCTCCGCATTAAGAGTTTCCTTAAAGGAAACTTGCTATCCCTTGATGGTAGAGTTGGGGGTCTGGTAACAAAAATATTCTCAGGTTATGAAGTTAAAAAGGTGAAATCGATTGCTACATAATTGATAGGATTGAGGGGAGACCAGGATATTCCCAAGGCACTAACAAAATAGGAAGATGAATTGGCGATAAATATTCCATTGGATATCTAGTGTAGGTCTTTTTTGATGACAAAAAAATAAATTCATTGTCTGAATATTTTAGAAACTTTATTAAAATTGCATACAGATGGTACATGGTCCCTCTACGATTAGCTAAAATTTCAGACTAATCTGCCTAACTGTTGGCGCTGTTTCCATCCAGATGGATCGATGTTACATATTTGGTCCTGCCCCAGAATTAAATCCTTGTGGAATATGACCTTCAATCTTTTCTATTTATTGGGGGACAAACGCTTTGAACAAAAGGCAGAATTAGCTCTATTACATAGAATAGGATCGGATACGAATCAAAAAACTGATGTGGCTCTTACTCATTGTCTATTGGCAACTAAGATCCTAATAGCTAGAAACTGGAGAAGCATAGAGGTTCCTACAAAGGATCAACTTAAAACCCAAGTGCTATACCAGTTAGAGATGGAAAAAGGTGAATATTCTACGAACTTAATTTCTAACTATAGAATAGAGTTATATATTACCCTTTTAAAAAGGACAAATAAGTGTTACATTTTGTGAAATAATTGCTTTAATACGTAGACGATCCTTGATATGGTTACCATGTTTCGTTAAGGCTCTTGGTCTATATATTCTTGTTTAGTCACTTAGCTGTATCTTTGGCCCTATGCATATTTTTGAGTAGTAGATGGCAGGCTCTCTGACCTATTATTATACTGTGATGAGGACTGACCAATATTGTCTGTCTTGTTCTGTTTGTCTTTTTTCACATTTGCTTTGTTAAATGTATTTCATGCTAATAGAAGGTTTATGCAGCTTTCCGTGTAAAGTAAAATATATACCTTTGTTTGGAAAATGTATGTTTAGGGAGGATTGTATCACTCCCTTTTCGTGTTTGATGAAGTGTTTTATAAACTAAATAAAAATTATTTAATAAAAAAATAAAACACATTAGGACAGGAAATAGCTATCAGACAAGGTGGGAGTGAGGCAGAGCTGGAGGAGAGAGTAAAGTGCTGCCCTTTAGGAAAGAGCAAGAGACAGATATGTGAGGTAGAGGTTACTCTGGGAGGCCATAAGCTTTCCTAAAGAGATGGGTTTAAGGTACTTCTTAAATGATTGAAGACTAGGGGAGAGTCTGATGGCGGTAGGCAGGCTATTCCATAGGAAGGGAGCTGCCTTCGAGAAGTCCTGCAAGCGTGAGTTGGCCATACGGGTGCGAACAATGGACAGGAGAAGGTCATGGGCAGAGCGGAGAGACAGAGAAGGTTCATACCTATGGATCTGTGAGGAAATATAAGAGGGGCTAGAATTGTTCAGTGCTTCATAGGTTTGGATTAGTACAATTAATTGACTCCTATAGTATACAGGGAGCCAATTTAAGGACTGACAGAAGGGAGAGGTGTAAGAGGAGCGACAGGAAAGAATAATCAGACTGGCGGCAGCATTCATTACAGACTGTAGCAGGGCAATACGGCTTTTGGGAAGACTAATTAGGAGAGGGTTACAGTAATCCATGCGGGAAATTACTAGAGCAAGGACAAGCTCCTTAGTAGCATCTTGCGTAAGAAAGGGGCAAATGTGGGCTGTGGTTTTAAGGTGGAATCTACAGGATTTGGTAACAGACTGGATGTGAGGCCGAATAAACTAAACTAAAACGCCAAGACAGTGTGATTGCAATGATAGACTGATGTGGGTATTCGGAAGAGGGAAGACAAGGAGCTCAGTTTTAGAGAGATTGAGTTTCAGAAAGCGGGAGGACATCCAGTCAGAGATGGAAGAAAGGCAAGCAGTGACATGTTGCAGGACAGCAAGGGAGAGGTCAGGGGAGGAGAGATATATCTGGGTGTCATCAGCGTACAGGTGGTAGTGGAATCCAAAAGAGGCAATAAGTTTGCTAAGAGAGGCAGTATAAAGAGAAAATAGAAGGGGACCAAGTACAGTGTCTTGGGGAACTCCAGCCGAGACAGGACGAGGGGAGGAGGTATCATTAGAAAAAGAGACACTGAATGAGCATTGGGAGAGATAAGAGGAAAACCATGAGAGAGCTGTGTCACAGAGACAAAGATTGAGGTATTTAATAGATTAGACAACCTATTGGCCAGTTATGGTCTAAAATGTATAATGTAAGGCTCCAACTGCATGTGAGGTAATCCTTTGTATTCTATTTAATCTTTTTTTTTATTGAAACAAACAGATCAATCTATTTCAAAAAAATATTGTGAAGAATTGTTGAGAAACGCTGAATCAAGAACTCTGGACAGAAAGGGGAGGGGGGTAGATGGGGGAATATAATAAATGTCTCGTGAAGTATCCCCACTCAGACATATTAGAGTATCATGATCAGATCAAGCCGACTTTCAGTATGCCTGTGATTTTCACAATTACTGTAATAGCTTCCATACACACTATAGCTCGCCTGCATTAGTTCTGAAGGGGATCAGAAAGTTAATTTTCAAAGTGCTATTGCCCTGTAGCAGAAGATGGTGCATAGCTCTGGTCAATGAAGGAAGCAGAAAGAGAGATTTTTATTATGGGATTGTATGTGCAGACCTTGTTTTTAAGCTTTATAATATCTCTGCTAGTGGTGCAGTTCTTAATACTTTTTTTCTACGCTCTTATTTGACGTTTGCAAAAAAAGTGTAGAAACCTTCATTGGACAAATAAAGTGCAGAACTTTATTGGATTCTCATTGGAAGAAATTGGACTGTGCTTTCCAATGTCAATCCAACGTCTTGTTTGTCAATCTCTTCTTCTTTACATAACAGGTGGTTCCTGTGTCTGAATTCACAAAGGCCGTACGTAGGGATAAAGGGCAAGCAGAGCAGGAGCTCATTTTCCAAGCTGTAATACCCCCATTGGGCATTAGCAAGTTTGCAGTAGGAGCACTGACTACACAGGGGCTGTTCGTTAAACCCAAGAAGCTCCTGCAATATCCCAACTCAATCCAGAACAAGGTGATATATTAACATGTTAACATCCCATGAGTGCCTTATTACCCTATAACATCTTATTACAGTAACCTGGCTCCCGAGTGCCTTATTACCCTGTAACATCTTATTACAGTAACCCGGCTCCTGAGTGCCTTATTACCCTGTAACATCTTATTACAGTAACCCGGCTCCTGAGTGCCTTATTACCCTGTAACATCTTATTACAGTAACCCGGCTCCTGAGTGCCTTATTACCCTGTAACATCTTATTACAGTAACCCGGCTCCTGAGTGCCTTATTACCCTGTAACATCTTATTACAGTAACCCGGCTCCTGAGTGCCTTATTACCCCTGTAACATCTTATTACAGTAACCCAGGCTCCTGAGTGCCTTATTACCCTGTAACATCTTATTACAGTAACCCGGCTCCTGAGTGCCTTATTACCCTGTAACATCTTATTACAGTAACCCGGCTCCTGAGAGCCTTATTACCCCGTAACATCTTATTACAGTAACCCGCCTCCTGAGTGCCTTATTACCCCGTAACATCTTATTACAGTAACCCGCCTCCTGAGTGCCTTATTACCCTGTAACATCTTATTACAGTAACACATTTGTTCATTTTTATCTGTCTTTTTAGTATTATCAAGTTGATTTTGATCCTGGCACAGGGTTAATTGCTGGAATTCGTAACCTGGAAAAAGGAATTTCGTTACCTTTAACACAAAGTTTATACTGGTAAGAATTATTTATGGTTGGCATGTTTTATATATAATTGAAATACATTTGTGAACTCTATTATCTATCTGAAAAGCTCTATCGAAGTCCAAACCTTTAACCCCTTAAGGACCAAACTTCTGGAATAAAAGGGAATCATGACATTTCACACATGTCATGTTTCCTTAAGGGGTTAACCAAGGTGGCTGCTTCGTATAAAATATTTAAAATCTGGTAGATTCAACTGTTAAAACTAAAAAGAATAATACCTGCCTTGTACAAACAGGAGGTTAATTTGGTTAACTAAAATTTGGTTTCATGGCCGGATGGATTTCCTTGGACAGTATCTTTTACTCCTGGATTTATGTATGGTGGTTTAAACCCCAAAACAGGCTCAGTGACCAAATAACCTTTCCCTCTGCAGGTATAAAGCTAGTGCCGGTAATGCAGGCAGTGCACAGGTGTCTGGAGCTTACATATTCAGGCCGAACCAGACCGAAGTGGAGCATGTGACACAGAAAGTCCAAACTTACTTAGTTGAGGTGAGAAAGATCCCACCGCTCCATTAGTTTTAACTGCCCTAATACTTTTTCTGCCTGCTTATCACCTATTACAGAACCCCTCACCCTATAACTGCTCTGTTTACAGGACCCCTCACCCTATAACTGCCTGTATCTATCACTGCTCTATTACAGGACCCCTCACCCCATAACTACCTGTACCTATCATTGCTCTATTACAGGACCCCTCACCCCATAACTACCTGTACCTATCATTGCTCTATTACAGGACCCCTCACCCTATAACTGCCTGTACCTATCACTGTTCTATTACAGGACCCCTCACCCTATAACTGCCTGTACCTATCACTGTTCTATTACAGGACCCCTCACCCTATAACTGCCTGTACCTATCACTGTTCTATTACAGGACCCCTCACCCTATAACTGCCTGTACCTATCACTGTTCTATTATAGGACCCCTCACCCTATAACTGCCTGTACCTATCACTGCTCTATTACAGGACCCCTCACCCTATAACTGCCTGTACCTATCACTGCTCTATTACAGGACCCCTCACCCTATAATTGCCCCGTACCTATTACTGCTCTATTACAGGACCCCCCACCCTATAACTGCCTGTACCTATCACTACTCTATTACAGGACCCCTCACCCTATAACTGCCTGTACCTATCACTGTTCTATTACAGGACCCCTCACCCTATAACTGCCTGTACCTATCACTGTTCTATTACAGGACCCCTCACCCTATAACTGCCTGTACCTATCACTGTTCTATTATAGGACCCCTCACCCTATAACTGCCTGTACCTATCACTGCTCTATTACAGGACCCCTCACCCTATAACTGCCTGTACCTATCACTGCTCTATTACAGGACCCCTCACCCCATAACTACCTGTACCTATCATTGCTCTATTACAGGACCCCTCACCCTATAACTGCCTGTACCTATCACTGTTCTATTATAGGACCCCTCACCCTATAACTGCCTGTACCGATCACTGCTCTATTACAGGACCCCTCACCCTATAACTGCCTGTACCTATCACTGCTCTATTACAGGACCCCTCACCCCATAACTACCTGTACCTATCATTGCTCTATTACAGGACCCCTCACCCCATAACTACCTGTACCTATCATTGCTCTATTACAGGACCCCTCACCCTATAACTGCCTGTACCTATCACTGTTCTATTACAGGACCCCTCACCCTATAACTGCCTGTACCTATCACTGTTCTATTACAGGACCCCTCACCCTATAACTGCCTGTACCTATCACTGTTCTATTATAGGACCCCTCACCCTATAACTGCCTGTACCTATCACTGCTCTATTACAGGACCCCTCACCCTATAACTGCCTGTACCTATCACTGCTCTATTACAGGACCCCTCACCCCATAACTACCTGTACCTATCATTGCTCTATTACAGGACCCCTCACCCTATAACTGCCTGTACCTATCACTGTTCTATTATAGGACCCCTCACCCTATAACTGCCTGTACCGATCACTGCTCTATTACAGGACCCCTCACCCTATAACTGCCTGTACCTATCACTGCTCTATTACAGGACCCCTCACCCTATAACTACCTGTACCTATCATTGCTCTATTACAGGACCCCTCACCCTATAACTGCCTGTACCTATCACTGTTCTATTATAGGACCCCTCACCCTATAACTGCCTGTACCGATCACTGCTCTATTACAGGACCCCTCACCCTATAACTGCCTGTACCTATCACTGCTCTATTACAGGACCCCTCACCCCATAACTACCTGTACCTATCATTGCTCTATTACAGGACCCCTCACCCTATAACTGCCTGTACCTATCACTGTTCTATTACAGGACCCCTCACCCTATAACTGCCTGTACCTATCACTGCTCTATTACAGGACCCCTCACCCTATAACTACCCTGTACCTATCACTGCTCTATTACAGGACCCCTCACCCTATAACTGCCTGTACCTATCATTGCTCTATTACAGGACCCCTCACCCTATAACTGCCTGTACCTATCACTGTTCTATTATAGGACCCCTCACCCTATAACTGCCTGTACCGATCACTGCTCTATTACAGGACCCCTCACCCTATAACTGCCTGTACCTATCACTGCTCTATTTCATTACCCCTCACCCTATAACTGCCCTGTACCTATCACTGTTCTATTACAGGACCCCTCACCCTATAACTGTCTGTACCTATCACTGCTCTATTACAGAACCCCTCACCCTATAACTGCCTGTACCTATCACTGCTATAATACAGGACCCCTCACCCTATAACTGCCCTGTATCTATCACTGCTCTATTACAGGACCCCTCACCCTATAACTGCCTGTAC